TGCCCCACATAACACGCCCAGCGAGCGGTGGAGCCCATTTCACCCCTCGGTGTAGTGCTTCCCAACAGAAAGTGTGCCCTGGCCGGTGTGGCTCAGTGGGTCGGGCGTCGTCTTGTGCACCCAGGAGATCACAGTTCAATTCCTGGTTGGGGCACATGCCCAGGTTGCGGGCTCCATCCCCAGCAGGGGGTGTGCTGGAGGCAGCCGATCAATGATTCTCTCTCATCATTGATGTTTCTATCTCTCTGAAATCAATAAAAATATATTTTTTTTAAAAAGAGGAGATCAACCTGGAAGAAGGTGGGCCTTGAATCTAATGATAAGTCCTCACAAAAGAAGAGAAGGGGAGAGAGACCCGGGAAAGAAGGCCTTGGTATGTGGAGATGGAGAAACTGGAGCTACACTGTCACAAGCCAAGGAACTCCAGAAGGCACTAGCAGCTGGAAGAGGCAAGAAGGACCCTGCACTGGAGCCCCCAGAGGGAGTGCCCGCCTGCTGCACCTTGATTTCGGAGCTCTCGCCTCCAGAACTGTGAGAGCATGCACTTGGGTTGTTTTAAGCCACCAAGTTTGTACTAATTTGTTATGACAGTCCGGGGAATAAAAGCACAATAATTTCAGAAATTAAGTGCAATTTCAGTATTATATGCAAAGGTGTCAGGGTTCAAAGAAGGTCAATGTGGCTGGGTAAGGCTCCTTCATGCACTGCACCTAACACATACATATATGCATACACACATACACACACACACACACACACACACATTCTCTCTCTCTCTCACACACACACACACACACATACACACACACACTAAAACACCACCCATTCACTTATACTGTAAAACATTATCTACAGAGTCACTTAAATTTTCTGCCTAACTTAACCTTTGACCTTAAAAACATCTTGGCCCTAATTGTGTTCTTATGTTTGAATACTACACACTAAGCACTGTGGTGTGGATACAGGAATACTCAGAAAGACTGCATTCAACTGTAAGCTGGTCAATATATTAGCTACTGAGTTTGGGCAATTTATTCACTGCCTTAAATTTCAGTTTGACATCTTTAAAATGAAGACAATAATATCAGCAATATCGATCTTTAAAATTTTTTGCAAAGATTCAATACAATGGATATGAAACACCTAGCACAGGGCTGAGACACAGAAGGCAGTTGCTAATATTATTTTCAAATATTTCATTGTCTTTGTAAGAGTAAACTGAATGTACAAAAAAATTGTATAACCAGAAAAGAGCAACCCCTTCAAATATAATATGCATATTAAATAATATCTATATATTGAGGTATACTATATAATAGAAGGCTAATATGCAAATTGACCAAACAGCAGAACAACCAGTCACTATGATGCACACTGATCACCAGGGGGCAGATGCTCAACACAGGAGCTGCCCCCTGGTGGTCAGTGCACTCTCCCAGGGGGAGCGCCACTCAGCCAGAAGCTGGGCTCACAGTGGCAGCGCTAAGGATGTCTGACTGCTGGCTTAGGTCTGGGGAGCAGGCTTAAGCCATCACTCAGACATCTCCTGAGGGCTCCCAGACTGCGGACCCCCCCTTCACCCCCCCATCCCCCAGTGCATGAATGTTGTGCACCGGGCCTCTAGTAAAATATAAAGAGTAAGGAGTGCTTATGGCTAGAATTAATTAACAGGGGACTATATTTACACTCTCATCTTAATTAGAAAACCAGACAAAATATATTAAAAAACAGTTTTCAGCCAGTGGACAGCAGGCATGGCAGGATTATGATCTCTGCAAAGAGAAACAGATGGAATGATCCCTCTGATTACTCAGCTAACTGCCTGGAGGCAGCTTTCAGGCAGTAGAGCAGCGTGGGAGAATACCACCAACAGGCTTGACGGTCTCACTGAGCTGAGGAGTCTGAGACTGGAGGTCAGGGAGGCCAAGGCGGCTAGAATTTGCAAGACAGGACATAGGAGGAGATGGGCATGCACAGGAAAAAGACCTCCAGGGAGGTCTGCAAGTCCTGAGTGCTGATCTGAGCATGCACAAAAGGAAGGAACCAGCAGAAGCCAGCAGACTCAACACTCTCCAGGACTCTTCACAGGCTGGACACAGTTCATGCTCTCCCAGCTGGGGTGTGAGACCTTGTAATGGGAGTCTTGTCCTCAACATGTAGTAGTGGGACTCAGTTGGCCCTGGACTACAGCACGCTCTAGATCTAGGATGTTTAATGTGTTCTAGTTTGCTAGGAGCTTTC